GTATTACCCAGCCGCTTCTTTCAGCATTTATGGTAAGATGTCGTCTGGTCCCATGGCCTTCATCTGAGTCAGTTTCCTCAATTGTCTCCACACCTGTAACACCACAGGTGTTTCACTCAGGATTGGTGGGATGAGTGGCGGGATGTCCCTATACTGAGTGTGATGAAATAGGGGATGTGATAAGGGTGTGGATTAGAAGGGGGAGGGGGATGGGATGGCTGAATTTAGGTATAGAACAGTGTGGGTGGAATGTTCTTGTACTCACAGTGGTGGTATGCAGCTAGTTACAGCGAGGTGGACATATCTCCGCTGCAGTTCACATCACCCGAGGGCGTTTGAGGGAGAACCCGTTTTGGGAGAACTGTAGTCACATCTATTGGCCAGCATCCAACGCGAGTCTTAACTAAGCTTAAATCCCATTCAAAGCCAATTATGCACACAATATTCCAATCATTCGCGTGGATTTTTAGCTTCCTAAGCGCGCAACACAGCCGTTAATCGCCGTCAGTATCTTCAGAAAGACTCCAGTAGAGGGCGCCGCTTGTGTATCGCGAGAGAGAAACACATCTTCAAGACTTCCGCAAGACAAAAGATACTTACGTATAACGTGAAGTTTCTTAGCTGAGGAACACTCTAAAGCCCCAGTGACGCAGTCCCTCGGGTCGTTTACCATGCACGACGCGCCAACATTTGCAATTGGAGATGCTCTGGAAAGTCGTTGTTAACTATGCAATTTCAGGGTACGAATACGCGATCAGTTGTGAGCTTGGTATTAACGCCAGGCTTGAAGTTGTGTTCTTGGTTGACCTTCGACGGCATCGGTAAGCGGCGCATGAGTCGGCTTTACGTTCAAGTCTTCGAAATGCTTTTTCTGGAATCATTGGCACAAGGGAAGCGTGTCCGTCTATTTATCTATCTATCTATCTATGATGACTGACAACAGAGGTACAGCTTAGCATTTTAAAAGCACCGAATCACCTTCTGTGGTTGATTGTTCAATAAACCCTTGAACTATATGTTTAACACATCTCTAACCCTGTCCATGGAGGACAGAAGAAAATGTATATATATTGTTTAGCATTGCAAATGTGTGGCCACGTCTGTGGTAGAAAATAATAATAATAAAAAAAAAAAAACAGAGGTACACAATGACTGACAGCAGATTACCCCTGATGTCACTCAGAGATAATCTGATGTGAAGTAATCCGATCAGAGGTAATCTAATCATAATGACAGAAATAACCTTCATCTGATCTACATACTACATAACACACTCAGACAGAAGAGCTTCCCCAGACGGTAAGAGCTCAACTCGGGACTAGGAAGACTAATAATCTTTCAGAGTTGAACTTCAGCCAATTATATTTCTAAGCCCCTTACGATGTATCGTCCTCCTCTTGTCAGTCATTATAAACTCCTGAGTACTGATGTCAATCTTCATTCTTCTTTCCGGGAATCGCAAAATATTGTGTTTTTAAAAAATAATTTAGAAGTGCTCGTAAATATGTTTTTTAAAAGGTAAAGTTGGTAATTAAATGGAGTTTGGTGTATAATATAAACTCTAGCAGTGAAATATATATCCATAGGGGAACATGAATATATAAATCATAGTTAAACTTCTTTGAAGAACAAAAAAACATGTTTACGTGAAAAATATATAATTTAGAATGATGATCCATATAGAGTAGCAATATACACTAGGCATCGAGGACGCTGTGTTGTAGCGGATGAGTATGAATTCCAGACTCATCATCGACAGGTTTATTTTCATGTTATTCGATGAATTATGATGAATATTTGACGAGGGTGTGAGAGACGGATTTTCAGAGCTGGATTTGTCGATGACACAACTACCAACCTCAGGCTTCAGGCTTCTCCTTCGGTGGTTATAATAGGAGCTGCCTCGTATGGGCCAATTGGCCTTCTGCAGTTCTCATTATTACTACTATCCCCTACACCTTACTTTCCTCCTGAGCTCTCTCTTGCCTATTTATTGCCTGTCTCTACCTCCTCATCACACACGGGAGACATCTCCCGTCATGCAGGGTGCAGTCGCACCTCCACAGATCTCCAGTATCAGCTCTTGATACTGGTAATGGCTCAAAAGGGCCACCACTTATGGGCTATTCATGCCCGTGCCACCTTTTGGGTGGCTTAATCTTCATCAATCAATCTCCTCATCACAATCGACTTGAGAATGGTCCAGGACGGACCGAAACGTCGTGGTCCCTTCAACTTCTAGTGTGTGGTCTGGTCAACAAAAACACTTCAGGCTATTACTTTGTAATAATAATCACCCCTATTCTTGTTGTGCCTCTGCTGCATGGGTAACAGCTTCTCCTCCGTATCAACCTACCCAGGCTTTGCGTCGTGGGAAGGCCACTCCAGACCGACAACCAGAGCACAACTCCATAGTCTCCTGAGACTGATGGATGTCTAATATTCCTCGTATATCAACATGTTTTTGTGTATATTCTATAGTCTTTCTAGTTAAAGCTTTGGATAGCAAGGTTAGGGTTTTTTCTGTTAATTATTTGTATTTATAGAACATTTTCAGTGTTTTTATAGAGATGATCTGCGAACATGTGAAGTGACCCAGGCACTGTTCGAACAGAACACTAAACTGTTCGAGTGAAATTCGAACGTAATAAGTTGGTACGCATGTGTAAAGTAATTTTAATTCAAAAATTTATTTGTAAAGTTGCTGGCATATGTTTTTATGAGAATAGGCTGAGCAGTTAGCGAGGCACACTTCGAACACAAGTGAATGCATTTCGAACCCAAGTAAGCGAACTAGTGTTCGGATTAACGACCATTTAGAAAACATCTTGAGGATGGCTTGTGCAAACTTAGACAGAATAAGATAAATGTCCGTATTAACTAAATATACCAAACAATTTAGGACTAAATTATACTCACTAGTTGATGAGTAAGATATTATGGTCTTAGGCCAAACGAAACGATCAGACCTCAGTCATTTTTGGCCCAATTAGACAAGTATTTTGAATTGTAATTGATTTGTTAAAATATGGGATATTCTTCATAATATAACACTGTTATGCCTCCATGAAGTAAAGGACTGAAGGTGGGTTTTCAGCCCACTTCAGCAAGCATCCCTGAACCACCTCGTACATTTGTGTCTTAGCGGGAACACAAGCAGTAATTATCTTAGATTATACAGTCATGAAAATTCATTGGCGAGATGTTTTCCAAGGAGTTTTCCATCATAATATTAACCAGATGAATTTAAGAGAGGAAGATCAAATATATTCACTTCAACGGAATGAGGAGAGGGGATAAGACGCTTCCCAAAGCGCGAAGAGGAACCAGCTTCGCTGCAGGTCGATTAAACATCGTCATCTTGTAAAGAATCTTTGATGAGATCCGGGAAGGAGAAGGAGGAGAGGACTAATAACACGGTTATTTCTCCAGTGATTGAGAGCTGGCGGAGATGATGACAAACGGTGGCCGGTGCCCCAACTAGAGGGAAGCTCTTCCCAGAGATCGACAGAGCTGGTTCCAGTAAGCGAGGAAGCTCACCAATGGCCGCGGGAGGTCGTTCCAGTGAAGGTGGAAGCTCGTTCCAGGGACAGAGGAAGGGGGAGGTCGTTCCAGTGAAGGTGGAAGCTCGTTCCAGGGACAGAGGAAGGGGGAGGTCGTTCCAGTGAAGGTGGAAGCTCGTTCCAGGGACAGAGGAAGGGGGAGGTCGTTCCAGTGAAGGTGGAAGCTCGTTCCAGGGTCAGAGGAAGGGGGAGGTCGTTCGAGTGAAGGTAGAAACTCATTCCAGAGGACAGAGGATGGGGGCGGTCGTGCCAGTGAAGGTGGAAGCTCGTTCCAGGGACAGAGGAAGGAGGACGTCGTTCCAGTGAAGGCGGAAGCTCGTTCCAGGGACAGAGGAAGGGGGGCGGTCGTTCCAGTGAAGGTGGAAGCTCGTTCCAGGGACACAGGAAGAGGAAGGTCGTTCCAGTGAGCATGGGAACTCGTTCTAGGAACCGAAGAAAATCGCACTATAGTAACCAAGGAAGCTCGTTCCAGCAGCCGCGAGAGAGTTCCTTCCAGGAACCGAAGCAGTTCGCTCCATGAACATCAGAACTCCTATACACACTCGTAAGGGTCATTCACCTTTCCTTAAAGCTGTGTTGCTGTTATTTGGCTGCTAATTGCTTTAGGTGCAGTGAGACTGTGGATTTAGATTTACACAAATGAATTGCGAAAGTCGCTTGCAGATCCTCACGTGCAGTTTAATTAAATATTAATCTTTAATGGAGTTTCCTTAACAACACTTACTGTAATTAGCCAGGAGAAAAACGGTTTAATTCTTCGCGCTAACTCATAATCTGTAAGAGCACACACACACACACACACACACACACACACACACACACACACACACACACAACACACACACACACACACACACACACACACACACACACACACACACACACACACACACACACACACACACACACACACACACACACACACACACACACACACACACACACACACACACACACACACACACACACACACACACACACACACACACACACACACACACACACACACACACACACACCTGAATACACATACATAAATACCCAAAACAGAATAAATATTGGGCTCCATTCACACGTACCCAGAGGCATGAATATGTAATGTAGAGCCACTGACCTATATATTATGCTTTTATGTGACTTTTATGTATATATTTTATCACTAGAATGGAACTGAAATGCTTATTCCGAACGGTGAGGAAATGCACATTGCAGCAATATAAAAAGATAGACGGGGGAGGAGGAGGGAAAAAAGAAACTGACAGAGGAGCCAAGTACACAGACATAGAAGCAACCAGAGAAACATAGACAAACAGAAAGACGATACGAAAATCAGAAAAGGCAGAGGTATGACTATGAAAGCAAGAGGGAAGGGAAGACAGAGAGATAGACGGGTAAACAGATGAAGGGCGAGAGACAGGCAGGCTCCTCACAACTCACCCACAACGTCCTTGACAGAGGCTTGTTCACTGCAGGTAAGGAAGTGGTTGTAGAAGCTCACCATCACTACACCACCATTGACAGCCTGGGGGAAGACAACGTATATATATATATATATATATATATATATATATATATATATATATATATATATATATATATATATATATATATATATATATATATATATATATATATATATATATATATCAAAGTGTGTATATTTGTTTTGTATTACCCTACATATGTTCAAGTGCAATAAATAACATGTCATCATTTACTGTGGTGATTCTAAAGTTCGTCCTCATCAACCAGCCCGTCCTCGTTAACAAAGATCGAATGCCCATTCCATACAGCCGCCAACCCTCCCACACCTCATTGTTTATGAATGAAAAACGCTCTTCACGCAATTCTTAAATGACGACGTTCGAACATTTCTCGAACAGTGCTTCACAGACGACCTCTGTTCGAATCACAAATCTTTAAATGCATCGTCCACGTTCTACCAATTCAAATAATCGCCTACATTTAACGTAAACACCTAACCTAACCTAAACCTACTCCTAAATATGCACAATATGTTAAAATACAATAATATAACGTTATAGTTGAGAAAATTGCTATTTTGAAAGAAGAGCGTGTTAAAATTGATGAATGCGTTTTTGAAGGCGGCTGCCGGATGGAATGAACCTGGCCTGAGAACGGGTTGCCTTAAATCCACACTCATCCATGCTACGACCTGAACCACACACACACATGCGTGAATTTTATCATTGTAAATAAGAAACGGCTTTTTCTCAGATATAAAGTATCATTAGTTTAATGTTTTTGTGCAGAGTTTGGTTACGTGAAGAGTTACTTGTGACTACGTGAATGAAGCAAGTTGAGCTTCGAACACAGGGCGTGAGACTTCTTAAAATCATTTCAAACGTAATTAACTGTGATTTGTGTATGAAGTGGTTTACATTCATTGACACAAGGTCTAACGTGCCCTCAAAGGACAAAAAAAAACTTATTATTTTGTGAAATAAAACACGCTGCGCATATAACTCTCAACTGATTACATTCAAGCTTTCTCGAAAATTGCTTCACTCTTTCGAATACGATGTTGAATTCATTGTGGCAAAATTGATGATTGCGTCTCTGGAGTTGGCCGCAGCTTAGATGAGCATAGCCTGAGGATAGATAGAGTCCCCCAAGCCATAGTTTCTTTACTCTCAGCCCTGACTATGGGTGACGACGGGCCAGTTGAACGAAGGTAGTTTGGCTCATTTCGCTTCAAGAAAGGTTTATTTTTCCGAGCCCCAACAGTTTGGAAGCTCACTAGAACTTGTGCTACCTATACTGGAGACATCTAGTGGCGTGTGTGTGTTGTGTTCTGTGGTCTCCCGTGTTGAGTACAGTGCGTTCTACCGTGTGGAATACAGTGCGTTTTACTGTGTGAAATACAGTGCGTCCTAATAACGTAGCCGGAAGGCCGAAGGATCTACGCCGCTACAATAAACACATCATGTGTCCTGCAGGTTAGTGGTTGAAACATGTGTCCCAGTATCCAGCTGTTAGAGAGTTGGGATACATCGTCTGCTGGAGGAGTTCCCGATGGGGGGAAGGGGGTGTCGTCAGACTTGGCAAGTTAGAGAGCGCGAACTATTGCGTAACCTGCCTGTTACTTAATCGCGGGTAGTTAGTAAAATGCGTCATCTCGAGACGCAAGCGACGGTATGGAGAGGCGTGAAGCAAGTGTGAAGTCGAAGCTCTTATCGGTTGCGCTATTGAGGAGTCTTAATAAGGAGCTTTCCTTATTAAGTTTCCTTATTATCGACTGAGCTAATGAGACTAGTTAATAGTTCGGTTGATAAGATGTGGGTGATTGTGTCGCGGTGATTGACGTTATAACTGCGAGTGTAAGTGTGTGTGTGTGTGTGTGTGTGTGTGTGTGTGTGCGTGCGTGCGTGCGTGGGGGGGGGGGAGGGAGGGGGCGCAGGGCATCTCTGTATTAGCCTTGTGCTGTAGATTCAACTTGTGGTTCAGTGGTTTGGCTCCTGTCAGACTTCCCCCCCCCCCTTCGCTGGGGGTTGTTTGTTCGCCCCCTAAGGATAAGAATGGTTTTTGTACATAATAAAGCACATATTGTCCCACACATTAGTCGTTTAGTCATTACCGAAGCGAAGCTAACAATGCTACCAAATACCTGTTAACAAACTTATATCATCTGGTGCACTAAGAATACGAATGTCTAATTGGCTGAATTAGCTAACTATTGTCTCATGGTGATACTTTGTTTCTAATCTGAGAGGAACTACCAATTTCACTAAAGTTACACCAGACTTTCGCTCGAGCTTATATAAGAGGCTGATGCATTTTAGCTCCTGAACTGGAATAAAGGGTTGTTAGGCATGACTTTGACGAACCCAATTAAGTGTTTTAAGTAGTTAAAATGTTCTAAATATTCACCGACGAGTCTCGATTCACGAGATGAATCTGTATATTCATTACAGATGAATCATATATAGATTAACTATTATTAGCAAAAATGGTTTATAATTCAAAGTTATTTCTCCCTTCTTTTTATAAAGGCGCAATAATATCCATTTTTTCTACTTTGTAATGATTGAATGGAAACTTGTAGCATGATATATACGCGAGGTTTACGTGTAAACTCGTCTTGCCTGCTTGAGTATGTGTAGACTAACTGGAGGTCTCTGCTCCTGGATGTTCTACAGGGACGCCAGCGCGGGTAAAATCTGGTGCAATATCTCGCTATGTTGCAGCCCCGAGACGGGTTGCACACCCCTGCGGAACGCCGGTGTTTGAGGCGCCACAAGTTGAGGTTCTATGTCTGGGTATTGCAACCTTTGTTTACTTTTTGGTGTGTCTGTCTGTCTCTCTCTCTCTCTCTCTCTCTCTCTCTCTCTCTCTCTCTCTCTCTCTCTCTCTCTCTCTCTCTCTCTCTCTCACCACCCTACCCAATAAGTCGTCAGCGATACTTCCCGAGATATTTTTCAAGCCTTCCCCACATATTCTCTCCCTGTTCTCTAAATATTCTTTCCCTATTCTCTCCCTGTTCTCTCCCTAGCCACCCCCCCCTCACTCACCACCACTTTCAACACATCACCGTTCGTGTAACTTGGGCTGCCTGGCCCCCCCTTCTCACCCACTCATCTCTAATCTCTGCCACTCACCACCTTCCTCAGGATGTCGTCCGGGACGTTTCTGGGGTTCTTGCAGATGGCGTAGACGGAGGAGTGACTGAAGATGACAGGCGCTCTGGACACCTCCAGCGCCTCCTTCATGGTGGCTTGTGAGACATGGGACAGGTCCACCAGCAGCCCCAACCGGTTCATCTCCCTCACCACCGTCTGGGAGAGAGAAAGGGGAGAAAAGTGAGAGGGGAGGGGTGAGAGGGAAAGTCCAGTAGGTTCCTCATCTCCCTCACCACCGTCTGGGGGGGAGAGAGAGAGGGGAGATAACGAGATATTCAGAGAGAGAGAGCGTTGCCTTTGAGTGAAGTTATTCAAAATATTCACAATCAAAGGTGAAAATTTGAAAAAAACTAAAAAAAATATATATATAACATATATAATATATACAATGTATTAGTGTAAAAAAGAGGAGATATATATATAAGAAACTGGGGCAGAAGAAAGAGGAAATGCTATATATACGTATATAAACACAAACCTGGCATGCACACGCACGAACACACACAAACTCTGAAATTGAAAACAAAATTACAAAAAGCCATATTTCCTCCCCTCCTCCCCCTCCCCCCCCCTGACACTAAGTCAAGGCTGGTCTTTGCAACAAGAGCTTCCTTCCCCCCCACACTCCACCCCCCCCCACACGAAGGCCATCCCATAGTGTGGTTGCCGTGGCAACGGGAAGCTTATATCTTGCCCTGAGATCCTTGACCTGCAGACACCTAGGCCCGACTTTTAATCAACACTTCGAAGATGTCTTCGTCTCGCCTCGACCAAGAATTCGCGAACTAAAGGAACTAATAATGCTTGGACTTGAACTTGTAAATTCACATTTTTTTCATTACAAATTCCCGTCCGATGGCTTCTGAGGATTTTTCCAGCTGCAGTTTTGCGAGCTTCTAAAAGGCCGCATCATATAAGCATACATTATATGTATACATTATACGCATACATTATATGCATATATTATACACATACATTATAAGCATATCTTATACAGATACATTATATGCATACATTATACTCGTACATTATACGCATAAATTATATACCTACATTATATGCATACATTATACGCATACATACTACTACACATTCACTATATGCAATATTATGCGCACACATACACGTATAATTATGCAATATACGCATTTCACCTATCGTAATATACGCAATATAGCGACAGTAGATATCAACATGCAAGTGGCATTCGCGATAACGATTACGTTGCAATATATTGCATCTCACTTGAACAATGCAATGATAAAGTTGATATGCAAGCTTGTCAATTTGATCATGACGTAACTTACCAACTTATTACAACTTTCTTACTGCAACTTACTTTCTGAGCTCTCTCTCCCCAACGTAAGGAAAATAAGGATTGTAGATATTTGGAACAATTATCTTTACAAAACAATATATCAATGGCATTATAAGAGGAGAGTATTTGCTTTTTCGTTTGCGAATATACGAGGTATAAGAAATTGGAACACTTGTCTATTAGAGTAAATGGTCCTGGAATACAAGATTAACAATATTCTCATTTTAACAAGATAACAATTTATTCTCTCTGAGAGGCTGTATAGGGAAGAATGCATTTAGTATTCCCAGTTGCAAAGTGAAACTCCGTGCTTGGCTGAGCGGTCACTATGGTTCAGGACCCGTGAACGAGACAACCTTTGTTTAGCTTTAAGAAATGCTGAAGCTGAAATGAATGAGACATGAGCGGTGGAAAATGCAGCTTCAGGAGGGTGTGGGTATGTGTGTGTGGGTGTGTGTGGCGGTGTGTGTGTGGGTGTGTGTGTGGGTGTGGGTGTGTGTGTGGGTGTGTGTGTGGGTGGGTGTGTGGGTGTGGGTGTGTGTGTGGGTGGGTGTGTGTGTGGGTGGGTGTGGGTGGGTGTGTGTGGGTGTGTGTGGGTGTGTGTGCGTGTGTGGGTATGATAGACGTCTGAACGTTTCGTGTTGCATATTTTCCTTGTTGGCAATTTAATATTGATCTGTATTTGCAATATGCTTAATTTGCTTGTCGTGTTTCTTACGTGTGTGTATATATCTGGTTGAGGGGGATCATGTGTGTATATCTGGTTTAGAGGTCATGTGTGTATATATGATTCAGGGGGTTACGTGTATATATCTGCTTGAAGGTGACGTGTATATCTGCTTGAGGGGTCACTTGTATATATCTGCTTTAAGGTCACGTGTATATATATCTGCTCGAGAGTCACGTGTATACATCTGCTTCAGGAAACATCCTTCTATTACCAGGGTACTTTGTCTATTTGTAACAGACGGCAGAAATAACACACACACAGGACGGGTTATAACTACATAACTCTGCAATCCAGATCACATAATTTTTTTTTTTTCTCTCTCTCTCTCTCTCTCTCTCTCTCTCTCTCTCTCTCTCTCTCTCTCTCTCTCTCTCTCTCTCTCTCTCTCTCTCTCTCTCTCTCTCTCTCTCTCTCTCTCTCACCAGTCTCTCTGGGGGTCACCAGTCAGGGTCACCAGTGTGTAGCAATTTTCTGAAATGCTGTAGGCTGAAACATGTACAAGTCTCAACCTTAGGCTGTTGCATATTTCAAACTCTACTGCCTTGTGTAAGCCATCCTAATTCACGCCTCTCCCTCTTCCACCTTTTCTTATTCCTCCGTGCTCCACACCTTTGATCCCCTTCCCCCTCCCCCAAACCTCAAAATGCCCCTCCCTCCCCCTTCCTTCCTCCCTCCTCTCCCATCATCTCAAATTGCAACCTCTGTCACTGTATTTAAAATTACCTCATCTTCCAACACATCAAATTTCTCTCCCTCTACCCACTTCCATTACCTCGAATTATCCCCCCTTTCCAAATTCATCAAATTACCGCCTCTCCCCCTCCCCCTTACCTTACACCTCACCGTATCTCCTTTCCACCTCCCTCCCCCTCCCTCCCCCTCTTCCCTTTCATTTCCACCCCTCCCACATTCCCATCCACCTCCTTCCCACCATCTGCAACAATTTCGCGTGATTTTTTTTCCGAGTTTTTTTTTCAATTTAGCAGTCAATGTATGCAAGACGGAAGGTATAATGCAAGAGCAACCCTTCCTTCCCAGGATCTCAGACCTTGCAATATGTACATTGCAAGCCAGCCTAACGGTGGGGGAACAAAAAAAAATTCCTTGAAATATACAAGCAGAGCAGCACAGAGCCTAAGGAGAGGAGAGGAGAGGAGGGAGGCAAATGATATATATATACACCTTTGTGCCTACGTGCAGTGTGTGTGTGGCTGGGCTCACCATAGCCCGTGCTACTTGGAAATTTTTGTTCTAAGTAGCTGAATCTTAAATAAGAAAAACAACGTGTAGTGTGGTTAGTGGACTGGGGGCCAGGCTGGGGATGGTTTGCTGTTAACTTGATAAAGGTTTAAGATTGCTTTCCGGCCACAGTTTTCGTGCCTGAATTTTTTGGATTTCTTATGTAATTTAGTTTATTGGTTTAACATTTTTTTGTGTGAACAGTGGATTGCTGTACTCATCTAGTTGTACTCACCTAGTTGTGTTTGCGGGGGCTGAGCTCTGGCTCTTTGGTCTCGCCTCTCAACCGTCAATCAACAGGTGTACAGATTCCTGAGCCTATTGGGCTCTATCATATCTACACTTGAAACTGTGTATGGAGTCAGCCTCCACCACACCACTTCCTAATGCATTCCATTTGTCAACCACTCTGACACTAAAAAAGTTCTTTCTAATATCTCTGTGGCTCATTTGGGCACTCGGTTTCACCTGTGTCCCCTTGTGTGTGTGTGTGTGTGAGTACTCACCTATTTGTACTCACCTATTTGTGCTTGCGGGGGTTGAGCTTTGGCTCTTTGGTCCCGCCTCTCAACTGTCAATCAACTGGTGTACAGATTCCTGAGCCTACTGGGCTCTATCATATCTACATTTAAGACTGTGTATGGAGTCAGCCTCCACCACATCACTGCCTAATGCATTCCATCCATAACTACTCTGACACTGAAAAAATTCCTTCTAACGTCTTGTGTGTGTGTGTGTGTGTGTGTGTGTGTGTTTGGTTATACACATTCTTCTTTCCCTTGGCTTTGTTACATTGCATAGTTTAGCATAGTTTGCCTTGGGTATGTAACACAATTTATTTTATCGCCTGGATCTTTCGAGCTAAGTCTCTAACAAATTAAAAGCTCAATGATTTAGTTTGTCTTTGCTTGGCCTTCGTTGTGGTGCGGCATGGGGGGGGGGGGTTGGCACCGCCCCCATGCGGCCCATCATGCCACGTGGCTCCTTCACCCTGGCACGGGGACATATTAGGCTGGGGATAGAGAGGTCAATATTTCCCCCAGCCTTATGTGAGAGAGAGTCAATATTCCCCTGCCCCCAGCCACCCCAGTCTTGTGTGAGAGAGAGGGTCAGTAATCTCCCAGCCTTGTGGAAGAGAGGGTCAATATCCCCCCTCAGCCACCCGGCAGCCTTGAGAGAGGGTCAATATCCCCCCCCCCAGGCACCCGGCAGCCTTGGGTGTGAGCCGGTCAGTATTCCCGGGCACAGCTGGTGGTGTTGACACTGTGTTATCTAAGTTGTACTGGCGGTGTTTACAAATTGCCTGACTGGCTCCACACACACGTGTTTGTGCACCAGACATTGGCTTGGTCGCTGGCCGTGTTTGCTTCCCTCCCTTCTCAACTGTTTGTTCGAGCTTAATAGGCTCAATATTTGCATTTTAAACGGTTATTGATAAGTGTGGGCTTCTTGTGCATATGATTAAAATCTGTAGTTGATCTCTTTCATTTGCTTTAGATTAGTCCGCCTCGAGTGTGGGAGGGACATTGTTTATTTTCAAGGGTTTTCCAGTGGGTGTATTGCATTAAAGGCCTCATTACGTGTGCCGTTTTAACATGTGTTTTACATTTAATATTAAATCTACATTCGTAACATCTTTATATTGTAAATTTTCTTAATTTTTGGGGGTTCGTTCGAAATTTTATATATATGCTCTGTTTTGGCAATATCTGCTTTACATTCACCGTGTAAACATTCATGTCATGTAATCTCCAACATTCACATCACACCTCCCTTTCTCCAACATTCACGTCACTAACCCACCCTCCAACATTCACACAACATCCCAATTGATGATCGCCCCCTCCTCACGTGGCAACTCCCAGCTGA